CCAAAAAAAAAAAAAAAAAATTAGCCAGGTTTGGTAGTGTGCACCTGCAGTCCCAGCTACTTAAGAGGCTGACACACTAGAAATGCTTCAACCAGGGAGGTGGAGGTTGCAGTGAGCCAAGATCGCACCACTCTACTCCAGCCTGGATGACACAGTGAGACTCTGTCTCAAACAAAGAAACAAAAAAGTACTTAGGTGCCCTATTACCAGCCAACAAGTTGTAGAATCCCCTCCCCATCTCAGAGCCTGCAGGGAGCAACCAGGGCATCACTCCCCATGTTAAGAGGAAGCTCCCTGCCCCTCACTCTGGCCCCACTGACTCCAATTAGGCACAGAATTCTAGTGACCAGGTATTGACTTTCCTAGATGAAGCAATCAGGTGGTGGGGGAGGCTGTGCCTGATGCCAGGAGACAGACTGGGGACAGTTAAAGGTAGCCTGCCAGGGAGGAGACAGAGAACCCGTCAACCCCCAACCCTGAGCCTCAACCACAGGCCCAGGTGGCCACTTTGGTGGCCTCCAGAGAAGGACAAGGCAGGGTCCCACACTCACTGGTGAAGAGTTGCTGGATTCGAGGAAAGCCCGTGCCAGGCCCACCCAGGAGGATGCTGACGACGATCCATGTGAGACCCACAGCGACGACTAGGGCCACAATGCGGACAGGGCCTGAAGGCAGGACAGACACAGGGCAGGCTCGCCTCAGACACGGTGAACTCCAGAATGACCCCACAGCCTTGCATGACTGGGTCTCCCCTGCTACTTGGAAAGAAGTCACCTTCCACCAGGCCTGAGAGGGAGAAGAGCTCCCTGACAGGGAGGAGGAAACTGAGTTCAAATCCTAAGGCTGCTGGCTTTGGTTCTCCCTGGCATGTCTGGGAGGGGGCCTTCCAGAACTCTCTGCTCAAGAAGGGCTCCAGCCTTCTTCAAGGAACCCCCTCAACTTCCTGCCTCTGAAACCACCCATATATTTGGGCACCCACCTGCCCCTGCTTTCCTCCTGTTCTAAGAGAGAAGGGTCCCTATTCCCTTTTAAAAGCAGTCCCTTTACCTGCTGGGACTTGGGCTGCAAGCTCCCCGGCCTTCTCTGATTTCTTGTAATAGTGATCACTCTCTCTACCTTACTCTTTCTCCTGTATTTTCAACATCTCCAATGTGTAGGAAGAAAACACTCTTCTTCAAAACCACACCCCCCATCCTCTCTCCCTAACCTTCCTCTTCCCTGTCAACTGCCTGCCCCAAAGTCATCTATACTCACTCCATCATCTCACCTCCTACTCCCTACCACCCTACTCCAGCCTGGCCTGGCCTCCGCCACCCCACCAAATCAGCCTGTTGTCAAGGCTGCTGATTTTTGCGGTGTCACCACTGCTGGTCACCTGTCAGCACTGATCTTCCTTGGCCTCTCAGTAGGTTACCCATGTCCTCCTGATGGATTCACTTCTCTGTTGGCTTCCAGAACAGCACGCTCTCTGGACACTCCTCATTCTCCTTAGATTGTCTTCCTCTACCCTTCCCTTAAAAATTGGACTTTCTCAGGCTTCCGTCCCAGGCTGCCTTCTGGTCCCTACCTGTAGTGTCTTTTTACTTTTTATTTTTGAGACGGAGTCTCGCTCTTGTCACCCAGGCTGGAGTGCAATGGTGCAGTCTCGGCTCACTGCAACCTCTGCCTCCTGGGTTCAAGCGATTCTCCTGCCTCAGTCTCACAAGTAGCTGGGATTACAGGTGCATGCCATCATACCTGGCTAATTTTTGTATTTTTAGTAGAGATGGGATTTCACCATGTTGGCCAGGCTGGTCTTTAACTTCTGATCTTAGGTGATCCACCCGCCTCGGCTTCCCAAAGTGTTGGGATTAAAGGTGTGAACCACCATGTCTGGCTGTGTCTTTTTATTTTTTTGAGACAGTCTCACTCTGTTGCCCAGGCTGGAGTGTGCAGTGGCACGATCTTGGCTCACTGCAACCTCAGCCTCCTGGGTAGCTGGGATTACAGGTACCTGCCACGATGCCCGGCTAATTTTTTTCTATTATTTAGTAGAGATGGGGATTCACCACGTTGGCCAGGCTGGTCTCGAACTCCTGACTTTAAGTGATCCACCCGCCTTGGACTCCCAAAGTGCTGGGATTACAGGCATGCGCTACTGTGCCTGGCCTGTAGTGGCTTTTTCGATGATGTCATCTACTCCCAGCTCTTTAATTAAACACCATGTATCAATGACTTCCTATTTTCTAGTTCCAGCCCTGACCTCTCTTGAAACCATTCCCTGCCAGCTGGTTCCTCACTGGCCAGCTCCAGTTGGATATATCCATAAAGCTGCCACCTTAGCAAGTCTGAAGTCCAGTTCCTGAGTTCTACTCTCTACCCTATCCCAATTTATCCCTCGCCAAGGATCTTCATCTTTGTCCAGGTGACAGCAGGGGTGTCATCGGGTTTACATAGAAGCCCACAGCCACTTTTGTCACTTCCCATATAAGACCATGACTCTCCACCTGGACTCCCCGAGTCTTCTGTCACCACTCATTTTCCAAAAAGCAGCTGGTCTGCTATCTGCGTTGGGAGATGCTGACTATACTAATCCTCATGTCACAGCTTGAGGAGCTAATGTCCTCAGAGGTGAAAGGATTTAGTTAAGGTCAAGGAATGAGTGTTTGTGCAGAGTCCCCAATTTCCAAAACCAAACCCAATGGTCCACCCGGGCGTCTCCAGACACAGATGTCGGGACCGTGGGCCTACAACCAGGTGCCCTTTTCAACTCCCTCCCGTTCGCTGTGGAAGCCACCCACCTGCCAACCTCATGTCCACTTCTCCCGCTGGGTTGGGACCGCCGGCAGGTGCACTGTTTGGGGGGAAAGCGGAAGAACAGGTTTGGGTGGGGGTCAGAGGCAAGCCTGTGCGGGACCCCCGCTGGGGGCGGGCGCGATCGGTGCTACGATATGTTCATCTAGCCGCCCGGCCAGGCAGGGCTCCTCGGAAACGGTGGGGGAAACCCTGCCTGGCCGGGAGGGGCTTCAGGAACCCGTTGGCTCACGATCTTGCCCACAGGAGCCTCCGGGGCTGGGACGTAGAAGTGGTTCTCCTGGGCTCGGGCCGTTCCTCCGGGCCTGGGGGCTGGCGATGCGGGCCGGGCCGGAGACTTCTCTGGCCGTGGGGAGACGTGAGCTCGGTCAGGAAGGTTCCCTGTCAGGACTGCCGACTCACTCCGCCCGGGAAAAGGAGGCCAAGGCGCTGCGCAGGGCGCCCAGGCAGGCTCGGCAATGGCGGCCAAGGGCGGGGCCACAGCCCGTCGGCCCCGCCCCCGCCCCGGCAGCGACCGCGCCGTAGGTCTCCGCGCAGGCCTGTCTCCAGGCCCAACTCTACAGCTCGAGCCGGCCGCCGATGGGAGGGGCCTGAACCTGCCCCGCCCCTGGATCCTTCGCCGGCCCCACCTCTGTAGTACGTTCATGCTGAGCCTGCCCGCCGCCAAGTGGGAGGGGCCCGCGTCGGTACCGCCCCGGAAGTCTCCCCTCGGCCTCTGGGTTGGGAGAGAGCACTGCGTACTATGATTGGAGGGCTTGGTCTCTGCTTGCGACTTGAGATCAAGTGTGAGGCGTGGGAAGGCGCAGTTCCATCTGGGGCAGAATTAGATCTGTTCCAAAGTTGATCCATGCACCTTGTAAAGGCAAGGGAGGTACAGACGCGCATACAGGGAAGACCGCAGGATCCTGAGTGAGCTTCTGGGCTCGTCTGTTTTCTGTCCAGAAGCGCGTTCCTGCTGTCTCTCGTATTAGTTTATAATGAGATGGGGCGTTTGAAACGCTGTTTCGACATCCTTGAAAACTTGCCTGCTCCGCTTGCCTGATCTGTCATCCGTTCCCCACAGACCTGTTCAAGCTGTGTTGTTTACGCCACACCCCACCCTAAAAACGTTCCGGGTTCATTGGAGGAAGGAGTCTAGCGCTATAACCCGAGGCTTTCACAGCAAACCAGAATTTATTTTGAGGCCGCTCAGGTTCAGATTTCAAGCCACGTGACTTTCACGTCCTAGACAACTCTTATTTTCCCTTGAAAACAAATGAAATAAAAACGCAACTCTTATTTTCACTTGAAAACAAATGCGATGTCATGAATTCCCTAACAATAGGAAAAAAGAAGGCTCTGGAAAGAGCGGTTCTTGGCTTTCCCTGCGGCTCCAAACGGTGCCCGGCACCCAGCCAACTATGTGAACCTGGGATGATGGCCTTTCGCCTTTCCCCACTTCTGCCTGGCTGCCTGGCTCTCTCCCCTCTGCGTTTGCCCGCATGCTGCCCCCATACCCTTCCCGGGCTCCGTCTGTCCATCAGAACCCGGGTCAAGCTCCCGTCCCTTTTGCCCTTCGGCTGCCCCAAGTGTGCCCTGACCACCTACTGCTCTGGCATGGCCGGGGCCACCCTGACAGCTGATCCATCTGTCTGGAGGGGGCAGCAGCAGGGCCGAATGAGAACCACGGAAACCTCCCTGCCCCTTGACCCACCTTGAGGGAATCTCCTACCCTCAAGGAAACAGTGCAAAATATAGGGTAAGTTTGTACAGTCAGGGATGGCAGAGCCCTGATTAGAATCCAGCAGTTTTTATACTGGAGTATGCAACAGGGTCAAGGTAATCCCTTTTCAGCTGCCTGCTGCTGGGGCCAGGGCTTTGCGTTTGGGTTTTGTCATGGAATTTGACAGCTTCTCAAGTAATTATGGTACCGAATCTTGGTCTCCATGACCTCCTGGTGGGGGGTAGTCAAAGAAGCGCCAGGTTACTCACACCCTTGAGCTGCCAGCCAGGCCTTGGGCGGCTGCCATGCCAGTGGTTCTTCAAGGACAATGTTTACATGTTGCTCAGAGCAGGCAATTATGAAAGGTTGTTTTAAAGAGTCTCCCTGAGTGTCCAGAGACAACTCTCCCTTCTCTGGGGACACCACGTGGGTGATGGACCAGAGGCCTGGGATACAGTTCCAGGTCTTCCGTGCCTCCCCGGGCAGCCTTGCAAAAATCCCTTATTTTCTCTGGGATGGTTTTGATTCCTGTGGGGGTCTGGCCAGCATGGTAGGTAGAGCTCACGGTTTTCTCTCACCATCCAGGCCGAAGTCCTGGAGGACACTCACTGTCATCTGTTCTTCCAGGTCAGTCCTCATAGATCAGGGTAGCTTCAGCAGTTCTCAAATAGCAGATATCACAAAATGGGGATGGGCAATCCTGTAGCAGACATCTCTGCACTTACTGTTAGAAGGACACCCTGGGTATTTTTGAAGCCTTGTTCTGAAGAAGGAAAAATCCAAGGTATACACGCACTTAAAGCCGGGAGGGGCACCTGCCGGGGAGAATGCATAAAAGATAGAAACAAAAACAGAGAGCTGAAGCTGAGAATGACACCCCCCATGGGCTCCGAGGAAGGAGAACTGCCCAGACCCCAGGCACAATTAGCACCTGACGAATATCTTAATTTATAGTGTTATTACTCAGCTGTTTCCTTTATATAATCCTTTATATATAATCATATATTAGTTTATAGAATTAGTGCCTGAAGTATAACTTACTGCTTACATATATCTAGCTTATATAATCATACTTAATACTTATATCTAGCATACTTAGTTCCATATAATCTTTCTATATAATCATT